TTAAATCATGCTTTAGTGTGTTCATATGTGACAGGTGATGAACAAATGCTGATACACCATTAACAACTAAAGTCCATAGTTCACCTTAGAGTCCACCCTTTGTGTACTATGGTTCTGTGGGTTTTGTCAAATTCATAATGTTGTGTATCTGCAATTACAGAGCACACAGAAAAGCTTTGTTGCCTTAAATATCCCCTGCGCTCTGTCTTTTCATCTCTTGCCACCTCCCCTGGAATTCCTGATCTTTTCACTATCATTGTATTTTTGCCTATTCCAGAATGTCATATAGTTGAAATCACACAGTGTAGGCTCTTTCCAGACTGACTTCTTTTTTTTTAATATTTTACTTTTTTAGTTGTAGTTGGACACAATACCTTTATTTTATTTTTTTGTGGTGCTGAGGATCGAACTCAGGGCCTCACACATGCTAGATGAGCACTCTACTGCTGAGCCACAACTGCAGCCCCCAGATTGACTTCTTTTACCTAGCAATATGCATTTACATTTCCTCTTTTTGTGGATTGAAAGCTCCCTGCTTTTTATTGCAGAATAATATTTCATTGTATGAATGTACTTCTGTTTATTTATACTTTCCTCTGTTGAAGGATATATTGGTTTTGGCAATTTTTCATAATTTAGGTTTGTGTGGGCAAATTTTCAATTCGTTTGGGTAAAATACCAAGGGCTGGAACAGGATCATATTGTAAAACTATATTTAGCTTTGAAAGAAATTGCCAAACTGACCAGGTGTAGTGGCACACACCTGTAATCTCAGCAGCTCCAAAGGCTGAGTCCGGAGGATTGCAAGTTCAAAGCAGCCTCAGCAACTTAGTGAGGCTCTAAGCAACTTAGCAAGACCCCATCTCAAAATAAAAAATAAAAAGAGCTGGGGATGTGGCTCATTAGTTAAGTCCCCCTAGGTTAAATCCCTGGTACAAAAAAAGAAGAAGAAGAAGAAAGAAAGAAATTGCAAAACTGTCTTCCAAAGTGGCTGTGCCATTTTGCATTCCCACCAGCAATGAATAAGAGTTCTGTTGGTCCATATATTCACCAGCATTAGATACTGTTGGTGTTTTGGATTTCAGCCATTCTAATGCTAGTATAAGAGTACCTCATTGTTTTAATTTGTCACTCCTGCAGGACATGATGTTGAGCATCTTTTCATATACTTATTTGACATCTTTATGTCTTTGGTGAGGTTTCTATTAAGATATTTTATAAATTTTAATTTATTGTATTGGGGAATTAACACAGGTGTTCTACCCCTAAGCCTACATCCTAGTCCTTTTTTAATTTTTATTTTGAGGTAGGGTCTCACTCAGTTGGCAAGGCTGACCTTGAACTTGTGATCCTTCTGCCTCTGTCTCTGAAGTTGCTAATATTAGAGATATGGTCTTGCCAGATCTTTTGCCCGTTTTTAAATTAAGTTTTCTGTTTTCTTATTATTGAATTTTGAGGGTTCTTCAAGTATTTTGTACACAAACACCCTTTATCAGATAAGTGTTTTATAAATATTTTTTCACCAATCTAGACTTGTCTTTTTATTCTCTTAATAATGTCTTTGCAGAGCAGAAGTTTTTGTTTTGTTTTGTTTGAAGAGCGTACTTTTTTTTTATTTTAATAAAGTTCAGCTTAATAATTTTTTCTTTCACAGACTAAGCTTTTGTTATTGTATCTAAAAAACATCACTACTCAACACAAAGTCATCTCAATTTTCTCCTATGTTATCCTCTAGAAGTTGTATAGTTTTGCATTTTATATTTATATCTCTGAGTTTACTTTTATAAGGTTTATGTCTTGATTCATTTCTTTGTATGTGGATGTCCAGTTATTCCAACCCCATTTGTTGAAAAGACTGTCCCTTCTCCATTGAATGGCCTGCGCTTTCTTGTCAAAGATCAGTTGACTGTATTTCATGAGTCTCTTACTGTGAGTACATTGTGTTCCATTAATTTATTCTTCTGCCATTACCATGTGGTTTTGATTAATACAGCTTATGGTGAGTCTTAAAATGGGGTAACATCAGTCCTCTGACTTTGTTCTTCAGTATTGACTATTCTGGAATCTCTCTCTCTCTCTCTCTCTCTCTCTCTCTCTCTCTCTCTCTCTCT